ATCTCTCTCTCCCTCTTCCTTCCTCTCTGAAATCAATAAAATATATTTTAAAAAAGGTTAATAAATACATTTCTATCAACAATTTAATCTAAAAAACAAAACAAATGAACAAGCAGAACAGACACAGATTCATGCAGAGAACATTGTGATGATTGCCAGATGAGAGGGTGATTGAAGGGTTGGGTGAAAAAGTTGAAGGGATTAAGAAATTCAAGTTGGTTGTTACAGAGTAGTCATGGGATGTAAAGTGTAGCATAGGAAATATAGCTATTAGTATTCTAATAACTATTCATAGTGTCAGGTGGGTGTAAGATTTATTGGGATAATAACTTAGTAAGTTGTGTAATGGCTAATCATTGGGATGTACAACTGAAACTAATATAATATTATATGTCAACTATAATTGAAAAATAAAGATGATTAAAAATGGGAAAAATGTTTTCTAAGTACTTTGTTGCTTTTGTTGGAGAGAGGTTCATTTCACCAGACCAAAAATTCAAATTCTCCATCCATTAAGTTTTGGGGAAATTTGTTACACAATAGATAACAAGTAAGCTACATAAAAGGAGTGTTTTTAGCATCAAAAATAAAAATGCAGAAAATGTGTTCAATATGGTTTTTATGAAAATAAACATTGAACTAATTAAGGATAGTTACTTATACTATCTTCAAAAACTTAGTTTGAGGAGTCAGTCTATTAAGTCTTCAGCCACTTGTTTTTATATATTTAAAAAATATTTTCATTGATTCAGAGAAGAAGAAAGAGGGAGAGAGAGAAACATCAATGAGAGATACTCATCGATCAGCTTCCTTCTGCATGCCCCCCACTGGGACTGAGCCCAAAACCTGGGTATGTGCCTCTGGCCAGAATTGAACCCAGGACCCTTCTGTCTGTAGGCCAATGCTCTATCCATTGAGCCAAACCAGATAGGGCTGCCACTTGTTTTTAGAATGGCTAATATACTAGATTAAAGGACAATGTCCCTTCTTGAAACCAACATTTCACCCTATGAGAGCTTGGAGAAACATATTTATATTCTTGTTAGAATAAAAATCTATGCTAAATTTCACAACATAGTATTTTGGCTATTTTACCCATCCTCTGAATGGTGATACAATTAGCTGAAAGACCACCCAGTGCCAAAACACCTCCATTAATTACTTACTAGTTTTGTGGTCAGTTGCCTTTAGTGTACATTTTTTTTTTTTGCCTCTTATTTAGCTGCCTCTAAGGTATTTGTAGAAAAAGAAAGAAATGGGTAGCTAAATACCAGTTAAATCCCCCCTTTTTTGCAAGTGATACAAATGTCTTCATATAGCAGCAGTCTCTTTATTTCCTACTAGAGGCCCGATGCATGAAATTCATGCAAGAGTAGGCCTTCCTTTCCCTGGCTGCCAGCACTGGCTTCCCTCTGGCACCTGGGACCCGGGCTTCCCTTGCAGCCCCGATTTCATCTGGAAGGTCGTTCGGAAGGATGTCTGGTCTAATTAGCATATTACACTTTTTTTTTTATTATAGATGGGTCTTACCTTGCACTTCATGCAATTGTTGGTTCGCAAGTTCTAGAAAAATCTTAAGGTTCTTTATTAAATTCATAGCCAAATCAGATTTCCCTGAAACTGAGTAAGGCACAATTGTTTGACCATACTGACTCAAATCAATTTCTCTGACGGGTATCTCAGAACGTAAGTTTTGAGTTGTTATTAGATATGTAGTGGCAACGACAATTACTGATATCTGTAGTAACACCAGCTTCCAGTTACGCAAACTGAACAGTGCTCTCTTTACAAACATGCAATAAAATTGCTGGCGGTAAAGTGGAAACTGAAAAGAGAAAAAAAAATAGCAGTACAATTGTTGGTAACTCAAGAATGATATTCATATTGGAACCCATTAATATAAATGTTTCAATTTTTTACAGCAGAAGATATACACATATAATAGAAATATATACTTGAATTGGACCCAAGAAAACAACAAGATGGTATGAAAAGTTTTATTTGTGTAAGGTAATAAGGGAAATAATTAAAATCTGGTTTCTGATCTAACTACATGAAAAATCTAATGATTTTATTCATTAATATACATATAGTGTTTCTGATTAGAAAAACAAAATTATATTTATTTCTTTTACTTAATATCAAAAAATCATCCTTCTATTTCTCCACTTTAAAAGGAAATATCCCTACAAAACTTATATGGAAGTATTATCCTTTGCTAGGTTTTAATACACAAACTATGGTTCATAGTGAAAAAAAATACCCCTAATTGGATCAACCAGTATCATCTGATCACAACTGTCATAAATCTTGAGTTTTTTGTCAGATATGAACAAAGGGAAAAATTTATGAGAAAATGAATGAGTACTTTTCAAAGTGATTCTGAAAAATATCAATAGTGAGAGCAGCAGCTGTTTTTTCGTTAGACCCATTTCTCCTGCATCAGGATACCATATCTGTCTGGGTCTTCTATGGCTAAACTTCAAACATCTTTTACGTTCAGATTTGAAATTGTACATCTCAAACACAAACCAAACTTACTGATTAAATTATTAGTAAATGTGCTCACCCCAGTGTTAAATTCAATGGTAGTAATTTCACTCAATCTGGAGAAAACTGTTGTGCTGTAGTTTCTGGGCATAATCCTATTCTGCTTCATGTCTTGCCTTTTTCTTTGGCCCTCCAAGGAAGAGGATACGGAGGGTAGACTATCCATTTGGGAATGTGCCAGTTTATTGGCCCTACATACACACAAGTACACAGAAAAAGCACAAAACATTTTATTTTGACAAGAGCCTTAAACTCTTTTATTTGGGGAATGTAAAAGAAAGTTCCAAATATGGACCCTCCTTCCTCGTTCTCACTGACTGCCGGCATATTGTTTTGAGGCAGCATGGTAACGGGGGATCCCAGTAAACCAGGTAGAGGGATAACAGCAATTCAAGGCAGAGTTCCGATAATTCTGAGGAACTGTGTTATCATGCAAAAAAACATTTGAATATATTCAATGTTGCCTTAAGCTAAACATATACAAGTTTAAGAAGTTACCTTTCATAAAAGATAGTAACTCTCCTTTGAGGGTTACAATGTTATGTATTTTATGAAATTATGGGGACATAGGCTAGTGTTTTTTTTTTTTTAAGTCCTTACATTTCCTACTGCTGCCTATGTTTAAAGCTGGGTCTTTGGGTATAGATATTTGAGAAAAATAAAGAGATATACACAAGTAATTACAATCTGAGGAGGAAAGTACTAAGTAGAATAATAGAAAAATATTATACTGAGAGACAGGAAAAAATACACTAAAATGATAAAACACTTGGTAAGAAATACATGATTTAAAAGATGTATTTTTTCTAAGCTATAGAACTATCAAGGTAATTTAAATTTCACCATTAGCATTTGTATGGAATACAACATTAATCATTCTGAATTATGACCGTCCCAGTAATGAGTAGATTGATGACTTCTGTAGCCTTTAAAGATCACATATGCATATTAAAACCTTGCTTTAAAACGTCCCCGCAGGGTTGTCTGTTGTTTGATACTAAAAGTCTTGAGGACCATTATACTTTCTAAAATAATCATTTAATATTTTTCTTTGTCATATGAAGTTTTTAATTCTTCATACTGTACTCAATGGCAATAAATTTCCATTAGGAAACCATCCAATAATATAAATAAGTGGGAGAAAAAAATTCTTATTACCTAGAGAGAATCCTGATGAGATATTTTCCACAGAAATGTATAAACAGGCAAAAACATACACAAACATACACACATTCTCTTAAAAGTGGCATCCAAATTGTATTTCATCCATTTACATAATTATCAATATATTTGGGTTTATATCTAAAATCTTGTTTCCTTCTATTTATCTTTTTTATTTTTTAGCTTTATTGAAGTATGATTGACATATAAAAATTATATATGTATTTATGGTATATAACATGATGTTTTGGTATGTGTATATATTGTGAAGTCATTACCACAGTCAAGCTAATTAACACATTCATCACATCACAGAGTTACTTTTGCCTTTTGGGCAAAAAAATTACTTGTGATCTATTGTCTTAGAAAATTTCAAATTTACAATTATTGTTAAATATAGTTACCATAATGTACTGTGGAGACCTGTATTCTCTAGAACTTACTCATCTTATATCTGAAAGGTTGTACCTTTTGACCAACATTTCCATAACCAGACACCCTGAGAGAAGTGAACATGGGGAGACAAAGAAACAGTACCCATACAAAAGAAATGGAGGAATCACTAGAAAAGGAAATAAACGAAATGGAGGCGAGCAATTTGTCAGAGAATGAATTCAGAGCAATGATCAGAAGGGCGCTGAAAAGGATAGAAGACAAATTCAACAATATGTGTAAGAATTAAGAGGAAATGAAGAAGAACCAAGCAGAAATGAAGAATGACATCACTGCAATAAAGAACACAATAGAAAGCATCAACAGTAGACTAGAGGAAGTGGAGGACTGCATCAGTGAGCTAGAAGACAAGGCAGGAAAAAATACCCAAGGGAGCAGCAACTAGAACAAAAACTTAAAAACCAGGAGGAGAGTCTAAGGGAACTTTGGGACAACATGAAACAAAGCAACATTTGCATAATAGGGGTACCAGAAGGAGAGGAAACTGAGCAAGGAATAGAAAACTTGTTTGAAAAAATGACAGAAAACTTCCCTGATATTGGCAAGAAAAAACTCACACAAGTCCAAGAAGCTCAAGTCCCAAACGAGATGAACCCAAAAAGACCGACACCAAGACACATTATAATCAAATTGGCAAACATCAACAACAAAGTAAGAATCTTAAAGGCTGCCAGAGAGAGACAGAAAGTTACCTACAAGAGATCTCCCATCAGACTATGAACAGATTTCTCAACAAACACAAAAGGCCAGAAAGGAATGGAATCAAATATACAAAGTCATGCAAAGCAAGGGTCGGAATCCAAGAATACTATGTGCAACAAGTATTGATACAATACTGTATCAATGAAAGTTGAGGGTGAAATCAGGAGCTTCACAGAAAAAGAAAGGCCCACTAAACCAGCAATGCAAGAAATGCTAAAGGGTCTGCTGTAAAAATAAGAAATAGGAAACAACCAAGATGGTAGCATAGGTAAACACCTGAACTTGCTGCCGTGCACAGCCACATTAAAACTACAACTAAAAAACAACAAAAAATAT